GTACTTGGTTGCTGCTTGACATAGGTTGCTAAGCCTTTAAAAAATTTTCACATGGAGGATATGAAACAAAATAATTTTTTAGCTTTTATATATACATTTGATTAACTAAAAAATCATAAATTACTACATCAATACCACAGAATTCAACTATAATTCATCAAGCTTAGTGACCAAGAAGTATTTTAGTCTAAAAAATATGAAATTTCGATCAGACTAAAGACACACCCTACCTCATTGCAATATTGGTTCAAAAGAAAGAAATGTTGCCAAGCCATTAAAACGGCTGAGAAAGCCACTGGGGGGACACTCCAAGCTTCCGATTGGTTATTCATGTCATATATAGAAGTAAGTGTATATAGGAGAGCATTTCCAAAAATGGAAAGAGGTGGGTGGGGTGGCACTGTATTTGATTTATTAAATGAGCATTTTATTACATGCTTTTAAATTAAGAAATTGAGTAATATATACTAAAATTTGAATGATAATCTACAGTTTGATACCAAAGTTATTAACATAAATTATTGAAATAGTAATTCAATAAAATAAAACAAACAAGATGATATGGCCTTACACCCCTGACCCATCTCGAAATGGTTAAATTACATATCCTCTACACAAGCTTCCCATCCCCGGAGAGAAGTATCTGTGAAAAGATGTATCTCTGGACATGGGGGTGTGAGAGGAACACTTACTATAATGTTGTCCCTGCTCAACCACCAGCCAAGATCGAGCAGGCCAGACGCCAAGAGGGTCACTGGATAATCCAGTGCATCCGTGCAAATGTTCCATTGGTCCCATAACAACCACTAAAGGGAACACCTGTGGGCCCAACCAAAAGGAAGGAGTTTTTCCAAGGATTCTCACATCCCCAACAGAGATGTGCCGGTGGAAAGGGAAAAGACTGTATTAGAAGACCAGTCCATTCCATGGCCTTTTTTATTAGAAACTCATGAGTGATTAAATTTTTGCAGGTGGCTCCTTCCAGTCCAAAACCCTTGAGCTGACAGTATCATTATGATAAATAATCAGCATGCAGAACAAATGGCCCAAAATGTTTTATGTTGCATATATAGAAGTGTTTATAACTTTATAACAGAGCGAGCCTAGTTTTATTACAGCATATATGTACATGCCTTTCGATTTTGTTACATTTAATTATAATGTATGTGTAAAATATCAGTTAAGTGTATTAGATGTATAAATGTTTGGCCCATTGCCAATTGTGTATTTGCATGTTCAATGATTTTTACATTAAGTAGCAGAATTTAGCTAGCATATGATTATGAATTGTACATTTAATGGTTAAAACTGTTTACTATGCTGTAAATAAATATATAACTGCAGTATTCTTGAATCTAATCAACTAGTGTACTGTACTCAGTTGGAAAAGTCAGGCCTATGTCCTTTGTATTTCTCTACTTAATCATATTTGTGAGATTTGTGAAATTACTCTGTAGCATTCATTACCTAAAAGGCTGTTTTCTGAAAAAAAAAAAAATGTAGGTATTGATTTGCTATTATAAGTACTGGTAGACTAAAATTATTGCACAATTGTAAATTTATAGAAGTCAAAAAAAGGACCATTATCAACTGTATTGAAGTGTCCATGATGGGAAAATGTAGGTATGTACATCGTAGAGTAAGACGCATGGGTACTTACAGCAAATATTGGACATATATTATGGCATGCAGATTAGAAAATGGTAAAGAAAATTGACACGTCTCATTAAAGTTATTTAAAACTTACAACTTTATTTGCCCTTCAAAGTTTATATAATTTGTAATTTCGTAACTTTTCATATTTTTCTGAAGTCAACATCAGTTAAATATATCAGATCAAATGCAAACACTATTTTCATGCTTTAATCTGCACGTTTTGTAATTTATGTAGACATTCAAAGGTGCTTCCCACTATAGGGAATGATATTTGGTCATAATGGCAGGGTGATTTTAAGAGCCACTGTTCTAATGAGGAGAATGATAGCATTTCACCCATAAGATTTTGTTCTGATTACAGAATAATAATATTAGTGAAATATCTTAAATTGGGTTTCACCAAGATGATAAATTTACAATAAGAGACTGGTTATATACATGAATTAAGCTGCAATAAAAAATGGAGAGTTGTAGCAAAGTTTTTCATACACATCAAGCCTTTAATTATAAGCCCTTGCAGAGAAAATTTAGAGGGAACGGGCTCAGATCCAAAAAAGATTCAGTAGCAGGTGAAGGGAGGGGAGGAGAACGTGACCATTTGGTCATATCTAGGTAAAAAGAAGAAAAAGGAGTCTTTAAAAGAGTAACATTGCTAAATTTATTGTCTTTAGATCTATTAAAGTATATGTAATGCATCATTGATGAAAAATGTGTAATGATTTGTGTTACTTCTTTTGGACTTCATGTTGTACATATATGTATATTTATTTACAAGCATTTGTATCAATTTTTGCCACAAATTCTCAAATAAATCTGATTTAATTTTATTATATTTATATCATAAATTTTCTTAATTAGTTCCATCCACTTCAACTAGGAATGTTGAATGTGTGGGGGGTGCTGATACATAAATTACATTCTTCTCGACACACTAACCACACCCAGAAAAGGACATGATGCGCCTCCACTTGTTCATTGGCAACAATATTTGAAATGTATATTTTTTGTGACACATAATAAACACCTAGTAAAAAGAACAGATTTTAATTTTAAGATTTCCCTCTGGGCTAAAATCCAATGCATTCTACATACCACAGGTTAGATGTGTGTATTTTATGAATGATTTTTGAACTAATTTCTAAGTTAAAATTAGGTTTAGATCATTTTGGCTTGACAAATTTATTAAAATCAAAAAACCAAATTATCCAAATGTCTAGCTTAGATAGAAAATGGCCATAAGTTGTAAAATGAAATTGCCTTGCCATTGTAAGTTCAACTGGCTGGCTTTGCAAGTTCAACACATAGCAATGATGGCTGCTTGCACATGGCAAAAATCACGTGACGTCCAACCTAGTGTTATTTATATCTATGAGTGTGAATGCCAAATGTGTGAAGATAACATGAAAAGGATCTGACTATCTAGCAAAAGACATATGGGGTAGATGTGAGGCTAAAAGGTAGAGCATGAAACTGAAAAACCTGTCTCTTATGTACAAAACGAAGATAACGACATGAAGACTTCTCGATCGGAATATGAAGGTAGGTATTGGCAACATCGAACTTTGTTATCCATAGACCAGGTGCAAAGTGTCACCGTAGAGAAACAAACGACTCCATGGTAAACCAAGTAGGCTGGAGGAAAAGAGTAAGATGGGAAAGATCGATTAAAATTCGCCCTTCTTCTTCAGTACTACAAACAAATGTGAATAAAAACCCTTGAGAGAGAGGGAGTCAACACACTCTATGGCCTCTTTGTGCAGAAGATCCTGGATGGCTTGTGCCACAGAGGGATGGCAGAGAAGAGAAACTTTCATCAGGATAAAGCTAAAGTGTGATTGAGGTAAGTTTGTTTTTGGAACTCTGATTATTAATTACAAGCTGTAATAGCATTTTATAATTCTATATCATCACAATTTTTCTACAAATACAAAAAAATAACAGTGTGAAAATGGGTTAATAATCATGCCTACTAGATTTACAAGAATATCTAATTTTAGTTCAACTGAAATTTACAGACATTCCTCAAACTATTATATTTTTGATATTTCTTTATCAAAGTTTTTGAAATTTAATTTCTTAGATGTAAAAATCATCATTTGGATAGTTTTTTTAGTTACCAATTCTGCAAACTTTGGTGAAAAATATTCATAGGAAAGAAAACATATGTTCTGCTTACCAAGAGTATCACTACTTTTGCTGTCTATATTAAATAATAAAAGTTGATCAAAGCTTTAAAAATTATTTTACATACATTTTTACCCAATATTAACATATTACTCACCTGCAAAAGCCCATACCCCATACTGAAGGCATCCCATGAGTCCACTTTCAATGCTGTATTTTCTACTGCTCTACGTATGCTGTATGGAGAATACGGAATGTTTCTAGCCTTGCAAGCTGAAAGTAGGACACCTGGGATAGGAAAAGCAGAATTTATTTTTTATAAAGTTTGAAATGATTAAATAAAACAAAGAATACTTTAATTATGTAAGAATGAAAGACAAAAAACAGAATAATAAAAACTTGGATGTGAATTCTTATTTAAGCAGAGATCAAATTCATTTCAGATTGAAAAAAAGTTATACACACTACTTACTAATGAATAATAGTAGATTAAAGTTTGATATTTTATAGATTAAATTAAAAACTAATCTGATGAATTATTATTGTACATAAACTATTTGAATTTAGGGTCTTATTTAACTCACAATTGTTTCTCAAAATCTGATTATTTATTATCTTGATTATGAAAGTGTTGACTGAACTTTAAATGATGTTTGTTACCACCATCAGATTAATCTTTATATGAAATGCAAGCAAAAATTGTCAATGATTTCAAAATTAAGCTTATAAAATGTAGAATCAAATAACAAATGTATTACAAATAAATTATATAAATCATAAATTTCTTTGAAAGTACTTCTGGAAGCATTTACCTACAGACTGTTTTAATATATATATATTTATTTTCTTAATGCTCAAATACAAATCCCACCATATCACATACTAGTCTATAAGCCCCAAAAAGATAATACTTGCAAATTTTCAAACATCCCCTAAATATGTACATCAAACTCCTGTTTTAATGTTGCTTATGTTTGAAAAATTAGTAATTTCTATGATGCTCTAAAGCTTCTGCAACTTTAACTTTTCTGTGTACCCAGAAAAAGGAACAACAGTTCCATCTTCATAAAACTTAAATCAATATTCTTTGATAAGGAACAGGAACAGAGTACTACAGCACCCATGTACAATCATTATAAATATTGCATTAATCAGGCTATTGTCTAAGTCTTTAAAACTGTTCTTCATCAACAAGTATGTGTTGCTATTTGGTTAACTTTGTGCTGCAGCCACATTTACTTATATACTCAATAGCAAACAATATCCACACAGGTCAAACATGTGATAGAGAATACTTCTCTAACATCTATATAACATCTTTAAAAGTGACAACCTGACATTTATTTGACTGTAAAGAAAATGATTCTTGTCATTCTTTGAACCAAAGTTTATCAAGTAAGTTTACAATCTGATCACAATTAAACCCTTCTTCTTAAGAAACTCGGTTTATAATCAACACACAAAATTTATTTTAATTTTAAAAAAATATGTATATACCATTAGTCTGTCTATTCAATAAATAGGAAGAAAATGTTTTAAACTGAAGAGCAATAAATACATAAAGTTTACCTTTCATAAGAACATACAGCATCCTTGCTCTAAACAGTCTCATGTGGTACAAGGGAAAGCAGACTTTTTGTATTCATTCTATACAGTTTCATATATTTGTGGAAATTTGCACAACACAGCATTTTTATGTTCTTTAATTTTGCACACAAAACTTCAATGGAAATATTTCACTGACTAGGACTGCCCTATTGTAATTTCAAAAAGTGTGTGCATCTTTTAAAAAATAGCAAAAGATGACTGACAAGAATGACTCAACCACCAGATACATATTGTCTCATATTTAAGAAATAAATGACTTAATTTTTTTTTCTTGGATCAAAGTCAAACCCAAGACCTTTTGTACACAAGGTGAGTGCTCTAAAAATTGAACAACTCACACTGTTACATTATTCCCTCCATCACAAAGACAGCCTGTCCTCAGGCCTTGTCGCAAGTTCATGGGATGACAATTCGTTAGGCTGCAGTTTTTCTTGTGGTAATTAATTTGTTTTTATTACTTCCTTGTTTTAGATTTGAACACTAGATCTGTCACATGCCAGGCAAGTGGCTAACCAACTGAGCTAGCAATTGAAAGTATGATAACTTTTTAACAACTAACTCAAATTACCACATTCTTCCATTTTTACAAACAAAGCCAATTTGGTGCCACTTTTTCTTACAGTAATTTTTTTCTTCTTCTTGGGGTGAGGTCAAAACCAAGACCTCTCAAACACAATGCAAGAACTCTAACAACTGAGATAATAGGTTAACCCACTAGCATTTTCCAGTCACTTTTTAACAAATCAACTATCACAAATACATACTATAACTAACACTTTTAATTATATAAAAACTATTACAATCATAGATTTCTGTCACATGTTACAACAATATGATCAATATACATATGGGACACCAACAGACAAGTTGATCATTTTTGTAAGTTTTTAACTCAACACAACTACCCATGAAGCTAAGTTACCAAAGTGAGAAAATCAAGGATATATACATCTAAGAAATAAGGTATTAGGTGGTGACTGTCTTGTCACTTTATAAATCTCATAAAATATCTGTTTACCAGCTCTGTGTTTATCTGTTGTGATTTTGATTAGAGTTCCATAAAGCTGTCAAATAAAAATACCCGAACAATAAGCTGTGAGTGAAAATGTGACACATCTGTGGCTAACAACATATGCAGTTATTTTTGTTCTCCAGAAGTACATGCTATTGCAACAGTGGATAAAAACTAAAACAGCTTCTCAGTATTAATCAACTACACAAAATAATGGGAAGCTTCAATGAAAACAGACATAGCTTAGAGCTGGATGTTACATTTCTGAATGGTATAGAAATAACATACTGTACATCACAAGACCAAGAAAATAACACATGCCCAGAGATAATGCATTGAGCCTTTTCTTACATGGTTGCCATTTTACAGGGTAACACTACACACTGGAGTGAAAAAAATAATGTGACAATAAAAACTGAGTTGGGCTATAAGATGTTGAAAACTGCATGATTGTATTTCTTTAGTTATCTAATTATTAAATTTTAAATGGGAAAGATAATTTTGGACCACCCTGTATATATAATTATTATCACTATCATTACTTGTTTTATACTATATATATATATAGGCCTATGCTAACCTTAATAGCAATAACACAATGCAGGTGTCTTAATTAGTTTAAGACCAATACTGATTTAGATTAACAAGTTCAAGATCTAAGCTGTACCACACTCTTATGTTTGGTATCATTGCTACATCACAGTGATAATGCTGGGTGTTTATATTTGAAGAAGAAAAAAAAAAGCAATAAATGGACTTACAAAATTTGGGATGGAGGCTGAATTTTGATGACCAAGAATCTCTTGTGGCACCTAAGAGTTTTGATGAATGTGTTCCAGTGGCACTTAAAGTTAATTTCACACCCTGATCGTATTTACTGATAGCCCCAGATGGAACTAAGGATATGCTAGCACTTAAAGCAGGTACATATTATTTTATCCATAAATTGATTTTACTTGTTTCACTTTCTGCTGTTCAAGTTTATATGGGGTGTGATATTATTCTTCCAATGTTAATTTATAACTTAACCAAACTAACACAAAGCATTAAAGAAAATACTTTGATGAAAAGCTCTTCTAAGATATAAAATAAATTTAAAGAGAGCAAAAAATATCAGTATCTTCTGTAATATAAATCCTATAAAACTATTAAAAGGAAGAGAAAAGTTTGCTTTTGTTGAAAATTATCTACACAATTTCAGATGATAAAAATAAAACAAGTTTCTTACAGAACAAATTCATAAACCTAGCACAGCCCCACCTACTAAATAAGCCCCATTTATAACATTGCTTACACTAAATGTACATTTACTGAGTAGAAACTTAGATCAAACAGTTTTGATACTGATAAATACAGTAATAAAACTATAATTCATCATAGCACATTTTACAAGTCAACAAATAAAATGAAAGCAGAAATTACAGGTTTAAAAACATGCTCACCCATAGCTCCAGAAACATGTGGAGAGCTCATAGAAGTTCCATTCATTAGTTGAGCTCCTCGTAAAGTCCAATTAGGTACTGAAGTTATTGCTCCACCTGGAGCAGAAATACAAACTCCTAGGTCACCATTTAATCTGAAAAAAGAAATGTTTAAATTTTTACTTTACATCTTAAAGCTCTTGGATAATGAATTAGCTATGCACCTATTAGCAATTTCTTACACACAGCTTACCTCTCCGCACAGGGATCAGTTTGACCAACCTTGTAATCAACATGTAACCATGAAACTATATATGCTATATCTTTGAACACAGTAAGTGTATTTTCATGAAATTTGGCAACCTTTTAGTAAACATTACAAGACAGTTGCACATAAAAAATCTGATTTTTTAATAAAGTAATTTTACTAAAGATTTGTCTTTGAAGTTACAAGTGCAAAGTGATTTTAATGTTAAGAATAAAAACTTTTTTCATCTTACAGTTTTAATATTTCATATTTAGAACCTCAAGTGTTTTCAGTAAAACTTTATATTTTATATTATTTACTCTACCTTTACTAATTGTAGCAAAATCAGCAATTTAGGGTAAAATATGAAGTTGAAAAATACAAAATAAATTTAAATTACACTTTCTTTCTTTATTAAATGACTGATTATTGTAACACGCAATTATACACTATTTATTTTCACAGCCAAAACTAATACTTTTCAAATATTGTGATCATTTAAATCTACTGCTTTCCAGCTGCACTTATGAGTATGAGTATCACAGATGAGAAGCTTTGTTTAAATAAGGAATTGAGTTAGCAACATGTACAGTCCTATTAAAATCACGTATCACACATCACCTCAGTGTGTGCTTGCTATTATTAATAATGTTTTTATTTAATTTTTTATCATTTAAGTTTTCTTATTTAACCTAATAAGTTTCTAAATTTAACATTTTAGTTACTTTTATAACAATATAAGAAATTTAGTACTTACATGTGGGCTCTTTTACTTTTACAAGCTTTTGCTCAACAAATGTTAACCCTACCTTTTGGTAGGATTGTTGGTAGTACAGAAAGTAATTTTTATTTATTTCAAATATGTAATTTAGAGCAAAAAATATTAATGTCAATAAAACTAGAATGTCCTAACACTTCTATAATTTAACTGGATTTCTAATTAAGCTTAATTAAGTAAAAATAATTCTATTAACTGGTTGAGATAATCTCAATGACAGAAAACAATGAAACTAAAGCTTAATAATTCAAAAACTAGCCTTACAGAAAATTCAATAAACTAAAATCTTCTCTTTCTATTAGCTATAAATAATCCAATAGCAAATTTCAGAAAATTATTGACATTTTTTGAAAGACAGGATGTGATATGAGAGCGTGTTATATGGGTTTGACTTTCTTGTTTATATATCAGTAAACTAAGAAGACTATAAATTTATAATATGGCTTAGCAATACCTATACTATAAGTGTGTAATTTATGCTGAACTCAGATGATATAAGGGTAGAAAGAAAATCTAACATGGGCAATTTGAAGCAAAAAGTAATATGTGATACAGTTTGTTTGTTTGTTGTTAAGCACAAAACTAAAAAATGATCTATTTGTGCTGTGCTCACCACAGGTATCAAAACCTGGTTTTTAACATAATAAGTCTTCAGACTTACTGCTGAATCACTGGAGGACCATGTGGTACAGAGATGTGAAGCTTGAGAATTATTTAAATATTTCTTTTGTTAGGCTAATTTTTTGTTTTTTTTCCTGAATGAAGCTTAATTAAAAGAGTCTTAAACACTTGAGAATTATTTGGTGAATTGTGGCGAGCTTGCTATCGTAACATGAGAATCTATAAGTGTTATGAGAGTTACATTTGATACGAAATGATACCAAAATACAGAACTATTGAGTTCATATGAACAGTAAAAACCAATAACTTGAAATGAATAACAAATACCACAACATCTCATTCTTATTTAAGTTTTCATGTTAGATTTAAGTGAATCAAGGATGAACTAGTTTCGAGTAGCGATAACTAAAGTTTATTTTGTATAAAAATGTTTAATAATTGAGAAATAAAACTTATGTAATATTAATATTTGAATTAAAAATATGTTTTTATACCAAACATAAATTGACAGTAAACTTGTTTAATAAAGTTTGAATGTAATTCTATGAAAACGTTATGACTTGCACTTAGACCTGCCTGGGGACAGAGGATTAAAATATTTTCCAAATGAGGATATTTTTCTCATTAAAAACTATTACTAGTAAAGTTTTGGGTCCATGTTTAAAATTATCCCTTTCTAACAAAAAAAAACAAACAATAATGCAAGAAAAGTACTAAAGATTAGTTTGTTGCTGTTCCAGCTATTTAAACTTAATGTCCTTTGTAAAGCATAACGCAAAGAAAACGTTATGACTTGCACTTAGACCTGCCTGGGGACAGAGGAATAAAATATTTTCCAAATGAGGATATTTTTCTCATTAAAAACTATTACTAGTAAAGTTTTGGGTCCATGTTTAAAATTATCCCTTTCTAACAAAAAAAACAAAACAATAATGCAAGAAAAGTACTAAAGATTAGTTTGTTGCTGTTCCAGCTATTTAAACATAATGTCCTTTGTAAAGCATAACGCAAAGACGTAAAACCAGTTATTGTTGGAGCCATCTTGCTAGACACAAGAAAAATACAACAGCACGAAAAGATTAAATGTAATTAATTCTAAAAACTAATAGGATCTCTTGTAATAACCTGATTGAATATCTAAACCACCACTAACTTTTCTATTTGTATCACAAGTGAATTTGTATATATTAACAGATTTGTATAATAAGTTATTTTTTAAGCTTACGTTGGTCCACGAGATGTCCAAGTGTAGCCCATTCCTAAAACTTTCTCACATAATGAGTACTCAACTGCTGCCATATCTGGAGAGACGTATGCACCAACGCCTGAATAAAAAGAAAAGATAATTCTCTATTAAGAAACAAACTTAAAGTATGATATATTTAATAGTAAACAGGTGGGCATCAACTCTTAAGTGAACGTTTAGAAATAAGACCTATTTGGTGACACTGATGATATTAACTAAGAAGAAAATTGAAAAATATAATTATTAACCAATACAGCAGTTGGAAAATAAGATCATTTAGTCCTCAACATTAACACAAAAAAACTCAACATAAAGTCTAATTATAAATTTGGAAAACTTCTACAGAGCTGGGCAATTAACTTTATTAGTGTCATGTAAAATAATCAATTAATTGAAATTTTACAACTAAGTCAATTAATGTCCTGAAAATAATCAACTTATCAAACTAAGTGTTTCCAATTATTACTATTTTAAATTATTTCAAATATCCAAGTAACTGAAATCTTGCCATTACGTTTGTCTGTTGTTAAACCCAAAACTAATAATGGGCTAGCTGCCACAGGTATCAAAATCTGATTTTTAGTGTTATAAGTCTTTCTTTTAGCCATCTCATGTAAGAATAATAATGAATGAGTTCAATGATTAATCAATTAGCAAGTTCCACTAATCAACCAGCTCTAAATAAAATTCATATGATATATAAAATTTCTTGTTCTTGTGGTAACATCTACAAAATACAAGAAAAAGATGCAAACCATAATGACCATAATACCCTATATACCCCTACCCCCACCAAAAAAACAATAACATTTTACAGGAACAAAATATAAAAAAACAGTCCCACAATAAACTGGGAGCCAGCATCAAACCACAGACAAAGTCTAGTTAGAAAAGTCAAAAGATCCTTCAAAATTTAAATACCACAACTATAGCTAAGGCATGAAAATAGTTGGAGACATTAAGATTCTATCACACACCAAACCATCAGTTAACTTCTCTGCAACAAGTCCATGTAAACAGAAACCACAATGAGCTAAAGAAGGACTCAACAGAGGTAAAACACAATCCACTATAATATCCAAAATCTCAAAATTAAAAGTAAGTGTGCTAAGTTTGTCATATCATTTGACCAAACAAGAATACTTTTATTTCTTTAGTCATCAATACCTTTATACATTTTAGCAATTCTGTGTTCCCGCTATAATGGTTCTCTGTCTTAAGGTAAATCTTGCCATTTTTATTCTAGCCAGATTCTAAAATTACTTGCTGTTCATTAGAAGTTTCCATATTCATAAAAAGTAAAAACCCATCTTCTCTCTCACAGTTTAGTCACTAAGAATACAAACACTTTATAAGTAAACATAAGATATACTGTTTTGCTGACACATTTACCTAATGATGTAGTGCCAACAACAAATATGATATTAGTAAATATTTGGGTAAAATAGTGAATCCTCTCTGAGGCAAATGATAAATACAGACAGGTTACAAGTGACTTGTGGATTCTTTAAAGAATACACTGCTATAGCCTAAAATAGACAACATCAATTCAAGTATTTTCCATCTTCACATAGACTACGTATCAGCCTATTCATTAACAGTTGGCAGATGGCAAAATTTCTGCCTATAAATGATTGGTCACCACTTACTCTTAAGCTATAAAAGTGTTATTCATAGCAAATATTTTTAGAATTAAATTAGACAAGTACATTAAAACATGTCGCAGAAACTTGCAGCAGGCAAACAACTGAAAATGTGGTAATTTTCAGTTAAAAAATAACAATATCCCAACAAGATTCAGTCAGGTAAACCCATAAATAAAGCAGATTCACGATGAAAGCCAGGTAGAACTGAAAAATGAACGTATGCTTGGATTCCAAACATCAACTTGCTTTCTTTGTCCAATGGACAGCATCACCTTGTGACTTCTGTTCCCTGACAGCATTGGCCAGCTATCAGTTTTAGTTGAGGTCACAGTTTGGCCAGCAAAGGATATGCCAGTTTTAACTTGATTTAATCCAGGCTCAAAATACTCAGAAATATCCTAGTTGGCAGAAGATATAATTTAACAAAAGAACAAAGGGCTGAGGTGATTATAACAAGATAAGGATAGACACCCTGAAATGTGTGTTTCTGCCATGACAGTGAGGAAACTAGATAATCAATAATTTGATGTAATTCTGTATTACTACAGAAGGTAGGAAACTATGATATGCCTGAAAATCTGTGTACTTTTCATGAAAGCAAAGGTACTTTGTGGTTAACTTTACTTAAACTAGAAGCATCAGTCGATAAGAGAAATGTTGTTGATAGATAAAGGTTAGGCCTAACGTTACTCCTCTCTCCTGCTTTCTTTAGTGAAATTGTTAGTTTTCTTCTTTTTTTTCAACTGCAACTCACCATGTTTAAGGACTATATCAGAAAACTAGTTGTGCTTCTTTGTCAACAATATTATAATTTGTAATAATAGCTTACCATTACAAACATTGTAGTAAAGCATATAGATCTAAGCATATAAAGTATAGGCCTAGGTTAATGCTAACGTAACTAAGTAAAATAAAGACCTAAGTTAACATATAGGGCTACAGCTAGAATGCAGTGTAAATGTCAGTACTTTTTTACTCTATTTACACTGCTACACATTTAAATACATTCTCTACTTAGATTAGATTAGTTCATTGAAGAAAGCCTCTAGGTTATGGCAATAATTGATGTTTGTAAACATTTGCATAACAAAAAAAATCAAAGAAAATCTTTCTCTTCAAGTGTTTATGAAATGTAAGTTAACTTTATGTGCATAACAGGTTCAAATTCTTTCCTTGAATTCCATTCAAAATTTAACTCTCATGCTTTGGGCTTGTTCAATTTAATGGAGTTCATGATCTCAAAGTGACCATCAGTTTCCTTACTATAACTTTTAATATGTTTTTTATATCTTCATGAAATTTGGCAAGCTTACAGCAAGTCTTGTACACAAAAAATCAGATTTTTTAATTAAGTATCTTTGCTAATAATTTGTCCATAAATATATGAAGTCAGAGTGTTGACTGCTCTGAGTGCAAAGTGTTTTTTATGTTAAGATTAAAAATACTTTATCTGAAAATTGTGAAATTTAATTTGTGTCATCTCTAAAACCTCTTAAATAAATATCAGACTTTTATTCAAAAAACTTTACATTATATCTGTTATTTTCTCTACTCTAACTTTATATCCATTTGGTCAATTTGACTGCCCTCTTAACACCATAAAAAAGTACTAAATTAATCTAAATTACCCATTTTTCTTTCCAAATGTTTGTAAATTGTAACATAAAACTACAATTGTTTATCTTAAATAGCTTAAAGCTCATAACAGTATACATCTGCTTAAACTTAATTTTATTGCTCTTTGAACTGTATATAACTAATAATCCTACCACACAAGTTGTAGATCACTCGGTGAATGTACAGTTCATGTTATCATATCAAATTATGTAATGCAAGAGCTGCTCACAAGCATACCCCATGAAGAACCTTTATTATTATTATTATCTTATCTAATCTAACATTACTTAACCTAGTAAGTTTCAAATTGTACATTTGAATTACTTTTATAATAATAAAAAAGAATACTCATGAAAAACAAGAAATATAGTGCTTACCTGGGTTCTATTGTGTGTTTTTTTTTTGTTGTTGACTGTAGATGAAACATAAGCCTATATGTTTTTATACTAATGGTACTACTACACCAAATAATTTTTATTTAATTAAATAATGGACCTAAGGACACCAAATAATAACATACACAAAACAAACATTTTCCTGTAACTACCATAATTTTTCTGGCTCTCTAACTATGTGATAAGAGCAACTAAAAATTCAGCTAAGCTTGATGATGCATTTTGAATTGATGCATGATGAATTGGAAGTGAAATAGAGAATTCTCTGTACAGAACACAACTTAATATAATATTTCTTTGGCTTTCTATTGGTTACAAATAATGTAGTATAAAATGTCAGAGAGAACTATTGGCAATTTGTGAAAGAGAAGATATGACAGGTGGGAGGGGTAAGTGGGTCTGATTTTTTAGTTTATGGCTCCATAAACAAACAAGATTGAAAGCTTTAAAAATTATGCTTTGCTTAGGTAATATCTATATCATAATGCGTAATTTACATTAAATTCTCTACTTCTCATATGGGTTGTAAATAAATTAGAAAAGAGAGAAGACCTAGATAGTAGTAAATATCACAATTCCAATACTAAGGGAGATTGAGGAATTTTTCAACTGTGTCCTTATAAAATTAAGAACTTAAAACTTATATGATATTAAAATTTGATTTATCAACTATGTTTTAATGCCATGTTTATTCACATACAATAATAATAAAATAGTTTAATTAACTTTTGGATATAACTCTCTAAAAAGTCATGACATGCATGCTTTGAACTGTATATTGAAATGTATATCAATATACTTAATATTAAAATACTGTTTATAATTCATACTTTAATTTTATCTATGTTTTATTTTTAATTTCAAAAGAAAATATTAAAATATTCTTAATCTTCACTTCTCTGAGACATGTTGACATCTCTGCACTTTGATTTCCCTCTTTCAGAATTTTCTAAGATCAAAATAGGATGCTTAAGCTTACTACTAATTAGAAACACAAACTATATATACTGAAAAACAAGAATATAGAATTTGAGCATCCTTTCTTCCTGATTTGCTGAGATATCAGTAAGTTTGTCAAATGTACAAGAGAAGCCCCTCCCATATTTTCATGTAATTCAAGTCAATTATTCACTTGTGTCTACTTGACTGATGGACATGTTTATAAACAATAGAAAGAGCATATTTTAGTCTACAAAAATGTTAAATTTGTTTATTTTGTTTTATGTGTTGAGTAAATTTGTTGCTCCAAGCAGTAATGGAATTTTTTTAAACCTATTTATAGGTTAGTTAGAAAACCAGATAAATCATAGTAGTTTTAGGACATAATATTCTAGTGTCTGATGTAATCTGTTTGTTTTCTAAAAATGCATATTTGAAAGCTAGATGCATTATTTTTTGTATTCCCAACATAATGAGAAAAATTAAGATTACTGAAGTAATGCATCTAAATAAAACAACCTCAACACTAAAGTAAGTGCTAAATTTCAAATTTTTTTATGTATATTTAAAAATAGATAACCCAAGTGTACAAATTAGAAACTTTTAGGTTAAGTAACAAAACTTAAAATAAAATTTAATTCTATGAGAAAGATAGATAAGCTCTCGCAGTTAGCACATGTGACAGTAACTTGATCATTTGTTTACCCTAATCTATACCAGAAACATCCTGATATAATTCGTTACTTTTCACATAGAAAGAGTGTTTGAAAGTACAGTGGTAAAACCATAAAATTAAAAGAAAGCAGATGTGAAAAGATTATAAGTTGAGGCTGTTAAGACAAAAACTGTTAAAATCTGCAGTCATTCTAGAAAAAAAAATGTATTATTGATTTTATTTCATATTTTTCATTTCACTGTACACTGATGATTTCTCTACAGTTAATGTTAGCATAAACAATATAGCCGATATTAAAAAATAAAATAGTTTTACTGAAAAAAAAATTTTGATATTCTTTTAGGAAGTTCTAGTTTATGCAAATCAAAAATGAAAACTGTAACTTCATTCTTAATAAGAAATTGTTTTCCACTATGACTAGTCAAAGTTTGAGTCAAATTGACTGAGTAAAGGCTTTGTCAATTCACAGACAATTGTTAAGTAAAAAACTTTATTGAAAAATCTGATTTTTTGTATACACTATACAACATATTATTTGTAACTGTTACTAAAAGCTTACCAAATTTAATAAAGATATACTTAGTACATTCACAGTTATAATAAACATTATTATGTAAAGCTTCAAAGATACATATGTCTGTCCAGTGGACTGAACCCAGATACACAGGGTTAATATCAAAATGTTTCAAATCACTCAGACTGTTTTATAAACATAAAAAATTTCTCATCAGAGGAAGGGCCCCCTCTCATACCCTTCCCTGTAGCAGCTTCTCCACAACCATCTTGACCACCTACTCTAGTGTTTACATTAACTTTAGGATTAATTATCACATGGATCTTTAGTGAAATTTGTTGAATAAGTAAACTAAGGAATTTAACTATGAAACTTTATCATCAACTTTGTTTTCGTCAAAACAATAAGTAATAATTGGAGAGGCCGTTAGTAATATATATATACATGTAAGTATATATATATATATCCAATATGTATAGATGTTGTATGACAAAACTATAGGTCTTAAAGAGAAAGGGAATTCTGAAACTTCATATGTATATTATCAATATTAAATTAAGTTTCACAGACAATAAATATTTCTTTGAAGTGTGCAGTTCATTTAGTAATTTTGTTATCTTTAAAAATAAAAACTTGTAAAAAAATGCATCTTTTTCGTAGAGTTGTTAGAATCACAAACCATTCTTTTTTTGGCCTAATTAGTAGTCTGATATATGAAAAGTACATAGTATGTTAAGAAGGTTTTGATAAGTTTTAAAACTCTGCTTCAATTGTAGCTTACCAATCACAGATAAAGACTGCATTGTAGGAGGTGTACCAACTGTTGAAAGACAAGGACCATTATTGCCAGCACTTGAAACCATGATAACTCCATATTTATTTACAACTTCATGGACCATGTCCATCACCCGGCTGAAAGTGAGAAAACAAAAGAAAGAAAATTTAGGTAAAGTCTTAATATATATATATATATATATATACACAACAGGTATTTGAAATCACACGTTATTGTTAGAATCTTGATTTATACAGGCTAATCACTTCCAGGATCATTTAGATCACAGTCCACAACATGGCTTTTCATAAAAAACCATAATATAAAACACAATGTGCTAAGAAAATTGAAATAAATTACTTCAAACTGTTTCATTTGCTGGTTGCTTCCTCAATTAATACATTATGATCAATACATAAAAACTTCAGTTGAGTTGTATCCTTCTGAGACACATTAAATGTCTTTAACATGTTATTTTATGGAGTATAGTTTACATAAGAAATCTCATAAAACTTCATACACTGCTACACATACCATTCTTACTTTTTAACAGTGATCATTATGGAAATCTTTATTTTAGAAGTTTTGATTTATGCCAGTCTCACCCCATCATTTTGTTCCAAAATATAAATAAGTAATTTATACCAAGTTTTATCTATATTGAATAACATTTAGGGACTGCTTAATGTAGTTGAAATTTTACCTTGTAGCTTGCACTATATCTGCATATTCTGAATATTCTAAATACTTCTGCAAGGTTCTAGATTATTCTTGAATTTTCTAGCATATTATTATGGTATATTCTAGCATATTCTGGAATATTCCAGAGTATTCCATATTGTTCAAAATATTCAAGAACATTCCATATATAAATAAGCTTTGCTATAACTTTTTACTTCTGGAATATTTTGTATAACATGACAATAGTTTCTAGAATTTCTGTGACAGTATACAAGAGCTTAAACAGAGTCTTCTGTCTCATTTCAGCTGACACTATCGGCATATCATTGCAAATGAATACTGCTACAAGAAGTAAGACTACACTTTGATGGCTTGGTTCAGAAGAAACTGAACTTACAGGAAGCAAATTATCTTCAAATAGGCAAATGCTGTGTGTGTTTTTTATCAAACATTAAAGAGAACAGTTCGTGAAAGCTCAAAGGTTGTGATTAAGGATACTGAAGCTTATTGGAACAAGGCTCGAACTCCAATTCATTTAGAACATCATGCCATTATCAAACTGGAGAAGCTTTTTTGAAAAATGGTCAAAGCTAAAGAAAAATTCCAAAAGGAAAACTTAAATAAAGGAGCTAAAAAAGCATAGTTTGTCAATAACCTGGATGACTTTTTTGATGTCACTCATAAGGATGCCCTGAGCTTGTTCAAGATTCCAGAAGACAAGGACTTTCTTCTTGCTCAGAGTGAAAAAGGATGTCATGGGTGCATGGGCTAGGCAGATAAGGTTCTTTCTTTATAGGAATCAAGGGCATGAGGAAAGAAGTGAGACAAGTATGGACAAGAAATGGCAAGCAGAGCAGAAACAGCAGACCTTAAATGAAACTGTCAGTTGTTTGGAATCATCCCATAGCAGTGATGATGAGGTTAGTGGATACAATGCAAATAAGAATGATAAAGAAAGAAGAGCAATTAGAGAATCATCAACTTCTAAATCTTACACTGCTTTCGTGAAGAACTTGTCAAAAATTTAAAGGAACAATTCCAGCCAACAGTCTCACTTGTAGTTCAATGGGATAACAAGCTATTTAATGATCTCACAGGAAAAAAACAAGTGGATTGTCTGCAAGTGATTCTATCTATAGTAGGAGTAAACAAACTGCTAGATGTTCCAAAGTTGATTTCTAGCACTGGAGAGGCTCAAGCTTCTGCTGTTGCACATTTGCTGGAAGAATGGAGAGTCAGTGATCGTGTACGTGCAGTTTACTTTAACACAGCAGCAAACAACACTGGTTATAGAAATGAAGCATGTGTGCTGTTAGAACAAAGATTAAACAAGAATCTTCGGGATTTGCCATGCTGGCATCTTATCTTAGAACCTGTCTTGGCATATGTTTTTAAAGACTGTATGGAGCTTTCCTCTGGTTCAGATATTGCAATTTTCAATCAATTCCAGCAATCTTGGGAATACATTAACCAGTCAAGTTATGAAACTGTAGCTAACCATGATGAAGTAGCAGAAGCCATAGAGGATATTAAAAATAGTATCATTTAGTTTGCTACAAGACAACTTCAGGTTAGCCAACCTAGAGATGATTATCAAGATTTTCTTGAACTAGCCATAACCTTTTTTGATAGCATCCCTCCCTGTGGAGTGCGATTTACAGCACCTGGAGCACTGCATCATGAACGATGGATGGCCAAAGCATTATATGCCCTCAAGATCTGAATATTAATGGGACAATTTAAGCTCACTGCTCATGAGGAAAAAAAAGACTTTGTGAAAACTGCATCTTTGTTGTATGAGTCTATTTTATGGCATGGTTCCAGATGCCCTTTCTACTTGCCACAATGATCTTAATTTCCTACAATGTCTTGATAAGAAAGTGAAATCTGCCTGTCAAAAATATGTTGAATATCTATGGTATCTCAAAGAGAAACCCAGTGGTTTGGCATTCTTTGATTCAGCTGTATCAACAGAGACAAATGAACAATGGTAAAGGCACTAAATGAGAATGGAAGCATGGATGAACCTCCAAAGTGTATCCAGCTGAATATTAGAAAGTCTGTGGACATGTCAATTGAAGATTTTGTAACAAAGAACACAACAGAATTCTTCAGGTGCCTCAAAATTCCATCTAGATTTCTGGATTATTAATGGGGACTCAGAGAGGACTACAAGAAAGCACTTCAGACAGTTAAACAATTAACTGTCATAAATGACAATGTTCAATGGGGTGTGGTCCTTATTGAGGAGTATAATGCCATCATAATAAAGAAAGAAGAATGAACAATTCCTCTTTCAAGTTGTGGATAATCATAGAAGATGCTTTCCTAACCACAAAAAGGAAACAATAACATTGCAAAAGTGACTAACCACACCAAAATCATATAATTATGTAATTATACTATTGTACATACAATGAAATAATATACTTTTAAATAAATCAATTATAATACATAATAAATATGTTTTTATATCATGCAAAACATATGGTACAAGGTCACTGCAGTCTAGAACTTCAATTTCATGAAGCAACCTCTAAATATAGTCCAAAATGAATAAATTTGACATTCAATATTTTTTTTTACATTGGAACAAAATTAGGGGCAAAAGCCTTACAATTTTTAATCTGAAATTTTACCTGTAAATAAGGCCACTCTAGTGACAATTCAGTCAACTTTCATAGATTAGGTATTGTACTGCTACATGTACTATTCCTAATTTTTACAAGTGACCATACTTTCAATGTTTTATATCTGAAGTATTGTACTGCCAAACATACCAATCTTACTTTTTAACAGAGACCATACTGTCAATCTTTCATACCTGAAGTACTTTACTGCTACATATACCATTCTTACTTTTTAACAGTGACCATACTGTCAATCTTTCATACCTGAAGTACTTTACTGCTGCATATACCAATCTTACTTTTTAACAGTGACAATACTGTCAATCTTTCATACTTGAAGTACTTTACTGCTACATATACCAATCTTACTTTTTAACAGTGACCATACTGTTAATCTTTTATACCTGAAGTACTTTACTGCTACATATACCAATCTTACTTTTTTAACAGTGACAATACTGTCAATCTTTCATACCTGAAGTACTGCTACATACACTATTCCTACTTAAAGTGACCATACTGTCAATCTTACACAATTAAAGTATTGTTACATAATATATCTTCAATCTTTTTCTAACGAGATTGCAAAAAGGGATGGGTAATTTAGGCTAGTTTAAAATTTCTTAAATATACATTTATTTAATTCTACAAACTTGATACAAAAATCTATATTGTCAACGCAACCTGAGAAATGGCATTATGTCTTAGTTTTATTGTTCTAAGACAGTGCTTCTCAACCAGATTTCCATGGAACCCTCAGTTTCCTTGACCACCTCCTGGAGTTCCACAGGGTTCCATGGAATGCAAAAGTTCCACATATTCTAATGTGTAAATACATACTAGTCACATAATTGCAATCCGACTACATCATATTTCTTTATTAATATAGCGGGTTTCATAATGACACAACATAACAAGTCAATGCACTGTTCTAAATTACGGAGTGACACTACGTACAAGCAGGTACTTGAGTTAAGTAAACTTTTATCATTTGAGAGAGAATGCTTCTTGTTATGTGTCTATATGTGTCCGAGTAATTGGCTCCAGAAATTTTTCATGTTTTGTATGTATGTTTATGGGTATATAGCTGCAAACATACATACTGTATCTGGAATTACTGATATAGTATTGCACTAAGTTTTTGGTAATGAAGGCTGTGAAGGTTTCTGTGACACAAATTTTAATGCCAGAAGTTTTATAGATTCAAAAAGGTTGAGATCCACTGGTCTAAGATATGCAGTTTATTTATGAGCTGACTAGAAATAGTAAATTTTAAATAGTTGTTAAGGAGAGTTTAGCTTAGAATGTGAGATTTCATGTGTTACAATTCATACAGTAGGTAATCAACAATAAAGAACTAGCTCACCCTCCTGACCAATGACCATGTTCTCCATAACTCATATTAATGACATCACACTTCAACTGGATCACCTTGGCCATCTGAAAAAAAAATTATCTTATATGACAAACATACCCACTAACTTGTGGAAAAAAATTAAAAACAAAATATCAGTCAACCTAACAAGACACTCAGTTGGATGAAATTAAACATTCATTTACTATATTCAATAATAGGAGCTGTTTTAAGTAAAAACAGACTTCAAAAATTGCTTGGTACCCACCATAATGGACAGTACTGTATACAAGAAATACAGGGATCAAACATAATTAGTTGTTAACTTTTGTTACAGAAGCAGTAAATCAATATTATGTTATTCTCTACTATTCCCATTAATTAGTGATTCAATTAGTGTTAGTTATAGGCAGACTGACTATATTCCAATATACTTACAGATCTCACTGAAACATCTCATCCACTCATGTTTAATGTCAGTTTTAAACATCATTCTCTGTATACTTATAACACTTTAGCACAGATCTGTTTGCAATGGCACCTAGTAGATTTTTCCTAATGTCTTTCATACAGTGTAACATTCTAGTTTCTTTTTTATATGATTATCATACCTTCCTTCTTTACACATGTAGTTTTACTGAAGATCAATATATATTTATTTATCTGTGGCTGTTGAATGAAAAAGTTTCTTGCTTATTTCCTCTAAATTATCTGTAACCTATCTGAAGGCTATTGATGATATTAATTCTTTTATGCAGTCATAACAACACTAAACATGTGTACTACCATACAATCTTTAGTAATGAAAGTTAGTAATTTGTGTATACAGTAACAGTCTGACTAGTGAGCACTCTAAAAGGATTTAAGTCATGCCCAACTAGTAGCTTCTAAATAGCCTGAAGCTCTGAGCAAAAATGCTGTCTTCCCTGAAAAAACAGAAATAATTATCTTAAGTTTGGTAAGAAAAGAAATGCATCTTTTATTGTTTGCAGCACTGAGTTAACTTTAAAATAGCTTTTAGAGCAACTTTCATAAATCTTCCCTAAATTAAGTGAAATTGTTACATAAAATATGTGTAGATATTGCTCAATGTAATAATGTTTTTATTTTTAATTCAATACATCTAATCTCAAGAAATAGGCAGAAAAATCAAATTCCCTTTATTTCTCACATCACAGGTGCTAATGTTGACATTTTCTTACACTGAAAATGTATTTCCAATAGGTACTACCTTCCCTCACACGAAACTATCTCATCTTCTTTCTGCCCCTTTAGCATTGCTACAAAATTTTAATGCTCATCACACCAATCCATACACCACAAATTTTGCACCACTTTTGAACATGTAAATAGCATGTGACCACCCTCAACCAACAGTACTGCACCACCTATAGTGGCATAACTAGCTCCCTCTGATTTTCCTGCTCAATTCTCACTTTCAAATATTGCAGGAATTAAAATGTATAACACTAGCAGTGGTGAGGAAGGGTGGAAAGTGGAGGTAAGGACCTATCAGAAATACAAGTTTCAGGGTGAGAAAATATTAATTTCTGATATGGTCTTAACTACGCTTAAACAAAGCTAGAATCCCACATTGAAAAGGTGGAGGGAGCAGTGTAGGCACCTAACAATGAAACCAAGGGGAAAGCAACCACCTAAAGACAACTGGTGTGCTCAGAGATGAAACCAAACCACACATGCAGGGCAGGTATGCACTTTGCCCTGTAAGAAGTAAATGATCTGACACAGGCAGAAAAAAAAAAAGATGTGCATAAGTTCAAATTGGTCTGAGAGGTGCAATCCATAGTAAAAAACAGCATGATTTTGAATCATCCTCCATCACACAAACCAAACTGAAAAACAGCCAGCACCCATAGGTGAATAGCCATTCTATGAAACAAAAACTCAAAGTGAGCTCAACACCTACATGAGTCAAGGGACAGTTTGCTGAAATATAACAATGAAAAAAAAACATCTAGCCATGGCTAGGTATCTACCCAACTTCAAGTGGACAGATGAGGTTCCACAACCCATCATCGGTACTAGGAGGTTGAGAATCCTCTAGATAAAAACAAAATTAGAGTAACATAAACATTGTGGCTAGGGCATGTGAACTGTGTGATATATATATACACTAACCCCAGCCAAAAGTAAACAGAGTGTCATACATCAAACAACCAGAACTATGAAGAGAAAGTTAACATTTGCCCAAAACCAGACAAATTCCCCCCAAAAAAACCAAAACCACAATAGAAGCAAAGAAGTAAAACAAACCAACTCCAACATTACACCGTCATGTCGTTGCCTCAACTCAACCATAAGAATAGGAAAGTACTTGTAACCAGTATTAAGAGCAGAAATTGTAACCCACCCAACTGTAAATGCTGGGAAGACATATCCTGCACCTGGAATTATGAGGAAGATGTGGAAAATTTGCTAAACTGTAGGAACATTGTACATGCATCCTGTTGCTGGTATTACAAGGCAGACAAAGTCACCCAAACTCAACTGTAGAAGCAGGGAAGAAAACCTCCTGCAACTGGAATTAATACACATATTTACACACATTTACAGTATTAGGGTGTTTTTAATACATAATCTAATATCTTGTCTCATTCACTTTTGTCTTGTTGTGTATTTTGTTTTCATAACATGACAAAAAATTTAAAACTATTAATCCTGATTTGAATTTATTATCCCCAGAATTGTATATCACTTGGAAAGAGGAAATATTTAAACCCCTCACTTGCATTGACAAAACTTGTCGATATATGAAACAAAGCTACGAAACTGTGGTCTTTGTTCATGTTCGTTGCTTATTTATAGCTTAAATAGTTTGAAAACTATAAAAACTTCAACTGACTGCATTTTATATTTTACAATTTCCAAGCTTTAAGAGCTAAAAAATCATAAATATATCATTTGAAAGCTGGAATTATTTTCTTCCTTGTAATCTATTTGCCATAAAGCTTCCTCTCTTCCACATATAGGTTGTAAATTCATAAAATGTTAGTCATTACATAAAGCCTTCCTTGATTGCATGTTTTAATATCATTTAACAATACCACAGTATTATAATTTTTATTAATTATAATTATTTTATTAATTCATTAATTATAATTGCATGCTATGGAAAAGTAATGAATTACTTTTATTGGTTCCTCTGCTTATTTGTTTATTTTGTTCAAAACAATATCATTTGTAATTTAAAACTATTTAAACTTAAAGCAGTTTTTGCCTTGCACGAACTAAAATATTAGTAAGGAGGTCTTTTGAAACAGTTGTAAATAACATAAAAAAGAGTATATATAAATAACATATAGTAAAATAAATACTATCTGTTTATATTAGTTTTAGCAATACATATAAAATATTACAAACTTTCTTTCAACAATGCAGGCTAGAGCATGACATAATTGGCCTATGATTATATTATTTGTAAAAAGTGTTTGTGATACCTGGCTCTCAGGTAAATAGTGAAAGCCATGTTTTATAACAACTGAGTACAAAGTTATGCCACAAAGCAATAATGGCTTTTCTTCCATTATAAGTTGTAAATTTAGCAAAACAAAACTTAATTTAGGTTCAGAAACATTCAATGGTTATTTTTTGTGAGTGAAGCATCTGTGTTTCAGATACAGAAGTAGATACAGAATCATGCCACTGGGATGGAAAGGTTTAAAACTCTCCATAAATCTTTATCTTAGTTTCAGTTTTAGACAGAGTGACTGGCCAGCAAACTTACAGCTCTGACTAGAGCAGCTCCTGTTTCCATGGTACCCAGTCTATTGTCTCCTATACATATACTAACAAGTTGAGCACCAGGTGCTATTCCATTTTTATCAGGTTGGTCAGGGAAGTAGGCAGCAGAAATACTAGCAACATGTGTCCCATGCGAGCCTGGAACACAGAGGTAAAATATTTAATCTATTAGCTACATGATTGCAAAACGTTTTGTTTTTTTTCGTAATTTAACATTTCAGCTACCCTTATAAAAAAAAGTACAGTTACAATTAATACATGTAATAATACAATACACATCAAGCAGTAATAAATAACTTTTACATAAGAACTATATAGTACAAATTTATGGGTCAGAACATCCTCAGGAATGTTGATAAATAAACTTTGAGGCCGATGAAGGTTCATAAATGAGTTCAATAAATAAATTGTCAAGTTAAGTGTATCTAACATATGTAGCAATTCAATAGCTAGGTTCACTTGACAAACAAATGCCACTTTCCATTGTGAGCATTCAATACACACTATGAAGTTCTTACTCTCTCTCTAATCCTTTACTGGTTTCTAATGATTTCTTGATGTAAAAAAAAAGTATACAATTAATAATCACCTTTTCAAAGCTGAAGTTTAAATAAACATGCAACTGTACAAAACCAACCAAGCTTTAATCAGCTTACTAACTGGATTTTACATTATTTAATCAAGTTTTAGAGAAACTCAATATTACACTTACTTGAAGTTGTCACTATTTCCAAAAGATTACCTTCATCATAGATATTTACAGCATAATTGAGCATATCTAAAAATTATAGAATTGAGAGAAAGAAGTGGTTACAACATAAGTTCTTAGAATAAAGAATATTAAATACGCTTATCAAGTGAAAGTTGAGGTCATTTAGCTTTTTAGGTATGTTTAACAATCAGGTTCTTTTTCACAGTTCAGTGGAGTGATAGTGGTTTGTACCTACACAAGTCCACATTCGGCAACAAAATATATTTCACCTGAGAATTACAGTTTCAAAAAATGTCAGCTTTCATCACCCTAGTTGGGCCACTGATAAAGAATGCTATCCAGTTGAGCTTTAGTTTTTAATTTAGTTTTCAAAACTCAATTCACTCTATTGAGATGTGAAGGAAACTTGAATAATAAATTTATCTCGAAAGCTAACAAGTCTAAAATTCTCGTCCTAAAAAAATAAATACTACACCAGGCCATTCTCAAATGCTAAATGACATATAAACCTCCATTGGGTGACAGTCTCTACCATCAGTTCAACTAGGTGGATGAAAGCTGAACAATGCTTTAACTTGCAGTTATCATCCAACCACAGTATGGGTATCAAATTTTTCTGAAATATCTTAAATTTTTTTTTACACATTATATACCCATAGGCATATAAAATGTATAAAAACGTTTTTCGTCCTATATTTTGTAATGTTTCATATATACAGATAGTATTCATAACAATTCTTTATTTCTGTTTATTGGTGAAATACTTCAGTTTCTCTCTGAAGCAAACTGTAATGCAATAACACTTAGTTTTACATGACAGACAGCATTTTATTTCTCTATGATACATAGGCATTATACTGTTTCTGAATGAACACATTCTTTATAAACAAATAAGTTTTCCATTATAAGATTGTGATGTGTGGTATTTCTTTTCTAAGTACAAACAAGGAAAATTAACATGTATAAAAAAACTTGTACCATTCTAACAATAATGACTTTTTGTACAGTAAAACTCCAAATATGTATTAATATTACACTTTCTCAATATTACTGTAGTATGCCCTACCTTTCTGTGTTAAAGTGGCAAACTGTAATGTTTCTCTGTATGTTCCTAACAAAGCACATGATTCTAAATCACCAACTTCTGAAGTATCTATGGCAGCCCTAACACAGAGGAAAAAATATATATAAAGCTATATATATATATATATATGTAAATAAAAATTGTGTATCTTATTTTTAGGAAAAATGTTATCCTAATATTTCTAAAACCAGTCTCCTGCTTCTGAAAGCATTGTAAATTGTTGAGAATTACATATCAAATATTTTGTTAATGAACTATTCAAATAAATCATAAACATTCAGCAGTGTTCTTAGGAATAGAAAAATTCAAAAGTTATGTTACAATCTGAAGAATCTCATACACTCTACAAATAATTAATGATTTATAAAATAAAGACTTAGCTTAAAGCTCTATTTCCACCAAATTTTATAATAAGCATGTTACCTATACTTTTATTTATGTTACTTCCAACTTCTAATAATAAACCCTTTTTTTTCAATTACTGGGATCTGAATAGCTAATCCACAGATGATTTTATTCATCTTGAAGTCCACTGACTTTTTCACTACAAATTTTAGACTATTTTGTTTATTATTCACCAAACAGCTATACTTCTCTATAGAAAATCATCATTAAAAAAAAATTACACCAAAACGTTTAATAAGTGTTTTTTACACTTTTCTTAGGAAAACCATGTAGGTGCTTATCTACATGCAATGTGTAATTAAGTAAAGCATAATGTTTAAAGATTTACCTGACAGTGAAAATTATGATAAGTTTAATTATCATCATTATTAAAGTTGTAAGTATGTTTCACTTCGTAAGAAACATCTTATGTGAAGTTTTAAAAATAGACACACAAACCTCCACATGTCACCATCGTGAAACACTACACAATCATATACAGGTCCATCATTCTTGTATTTTTTCTCTAAAGTTGTAAGCACTTCAACCCTTGCATCTAACTCCTCTCTCTCAAGACGTTCCTCTGCTGTAAGCTGAAGGAAGCAGTTATTACAAGTTAAATGAAAAAAAATTTCATTTTAAAAACGACATGAAAGAGTTTAATTATATCCATGTGTTTACAGAACATTTTCAAACTATGGCATGTATCCAGGCAATATTAACCATATTAACTGTTGTATAAAATTGTAAAAATACTTTCACAAGGAACATTATGTTTTTTGACTAGCACTAAACAACTAGTAATCTGTTTCAAAATAGTACCACATTGAGAAACTTTAGCACACCTGGCATATTATAAAATGTTACCTGTTTTTGAGATAAGCAAATATTTATCATGGGGATATAAAATTTTGTTTAATTTTCTATTTGTTTTGTCAGTTTCAAGTTGGCTAAATAAACATATACTCAGTTTTAACAATCAACATATAAAATTGCAAATAAAAGTATCTTACAATTTAAAAAAAAACAAACAACACTCTACATGAAATTTTATTTAACAATTTTAACGATTTTAGCTTTTTATTGGCAGAAATATAATTGTGAGAAATGCTCTTACAAATCCAACTTGTTAGTGAATGTTTCAAAACAAAAATAATATGTTTATCAATGTATATTTGTAATACATCATTGGATTTTTATTAAAGTTATTAGCATACTTCTACCACGAAAGATAACTTATAAAGTTATGTACAACACTTCACGAAAAGTCTCAACATTTTCACTAAAACCTCACATATACAGATATGAATCAAAAGGCAAATCTTTTCTTGTTATTGTTTTACTAGTTGATGGTAACTCATCTCTAGCATGGATATGTTTTAGTTATAAATGTAAAGTTATACATTATAATTAGTTATTAAAAATTATATGGCGTGGTAAAACTCACATTAGACATTTACAATTAAACCAATATTACATTTTGTAAAAGACTTGTATGAAAAGCATCATAAACACATATAACATTTAAAACTATTACAAGCACATTTTAGGCTTGTTAGGTGGGTGTTATGTTTTCATAACTAATTCATTCAAACAGAAGATTTTACATATTTTGAAGCATGTCCATTAACTACATCCTGATGTTACAAATTTCACACTTAAAGGCTTTAAACCAATAGAAATTGAAATTTTAAAAGATGCATAGAAAAAAAAGGAATAAAAACATTTCATCAACAAGTTACTTTAACAGATTTATAGAAACAAGTTGTTACACAAAATCAATCTCAAACCTGTAAAAATAAATAGCATACTCCTTGCTAAGATACAAAAAATAATTTATTCAAATTACTTGATCAATACCTGAGAAGAATCTGGGTGTTTATTATCAAACTCCTGTAAACATCTTATTGCTTCTGCTTGAATGAGTTTATGATTGGGATCCCATGAATTTTCTTTCCAGTCACTCTGTAAGATTGCCAATGTGCATAAATCAAAGATATTCTCATTCAAATAGTGAGAGAGAAATATTTAAAATTTTGAAATTACACGAATATAAAATCAACTATATTTCTCAAAAACATGTCACCACAACAATGCATTTAAAAACAGATTACTAAAATTTCACTAACATGGTTGGACTAGTAATAATATTTAATGTTTAGTGTTTTGTTATGTCAGTTATAACTAGAATATTATATTCTAATATATTTAGATGCCATAAGTTTTAAGAACAGAGTCATTACAAACTTTAGATTCCCACTCATTTAATTCAAAATAGATACATACTTTGTGTCTTAAAACTGTGTTTAGTAAGATGCTAACAAACTAAAATGTTTATTCAAGAACTGAAAAACAAAGGTATGATTTTCATTAACCTTCACTGTAGAATCATGATTGAAATTCTTACAATTTCTTTTAAATTTTGAATGATATATTCTACTTCTAAAGGTAAAATATATGTATCACATACATAAAAGTGACAATATGGTAAGGCCTAAAAAAAAAGCTTTGTTTCCAATTATATGCTGAAAAAAAAAGGGTAGGTAGGCATTTTTTTGCATCCCCGAAAATTTAGGCGGAGTATTTTCTTAATGCAGATACATATTTTATGATATAAATGCAATTGTAATATATCAGATTGTACCAGATGCTAAGCACTATCAGTAAAAATGTTATTTAGACATTTGGTCACTAAAGAAATAAAATGTAAAAATAGGAAACTCTTTAGGTTAGTTAAGGTAAGATTAAGTAAGAAAAAAAATAAATAATAATAATAAAAAATTTTCATGAGGCACACATGTGAGCAGCTTGGAGTAGCTCGTGGGTAATGTAATTTGATGACGTAATGTGAGCTGCACATTCACCAAGTCAGTTACAACTTATAATGGCATGCATAGTAGTTAGACATGGTTCAAAGGGCAATAAAACAATAAATTTAAATATAAATAGATGTATATTGTTGCAAGTTTAAAGCTACTTAGGATAAAAAGGGTAATTTAGATTTATTGAAATTTTTTGGGGTGATTATGAGGTCGGTCAAACTGAGCAACCTTGTATAGAATTAGGGTGGAGAAAATAACAGATAAAATATAAAGTTTTACACGAAAAAAACGTTTGAAATGTACTTAGGAGGTTTTAAAGATTATGCACATAACAGTTGATGTTTTTGAGATGAAGAAAAGTATTTTTTAATGTTAACATGAAAATCACTTTGCACTTGGAGTGGTAAAAAAAACAAAAAACTTGATATGTTCCTGGACAGAGCTTTTGTAAAAATACTTCACTAAAAATATAATTTTTTTGTATTTAAAGGACTTGTAATGTTTACTGAAAGTCTGCCACATTTTGTGAAAATATATCTACTATATTAAAAGTTAGTAATATCAAAACTATTACAAATACAAAGTGGTCACATGGTCAGTCAATCTGACTAAACCTGCATTAAGAGAGATAATTGGCTCAGAGCATTGACATACCCCACCAACTAACGAATCAGAGACATGGTTTCTTATGATCTTCACCTTGCACAATATGGTAGCAGATTGGTGCAATAATTTAATGAAAATAAAAAAATTAATCGAAGGGCATTTTTCATTAGAATCAGTCAGAAGGTTCATTTTGGGGAGGAGGAAGCATTGAGAAAAACTTTAGGATCGACATTGTTACGTAAGGTCAGTCGGGTAATCAGGAACAAAGCATCTTTTTCTAGGCCTAAACAGACAAAAACAGGTTTAGTTTACACCTTCCCTTACACTTCTTAACAGGTCTAAATAATACTTATGTTAATGGTACCAATAATGAAAACTACAAAAAATGAACAATCACAAAGATATATAATTTCTTTAATATTTACCTGAATTCTTTCCTTTAGAACTTTTGGATACAGTTCATAGCCATTTTTTACTCCAATGTGATATTTTCCACTTGGATTGTGCCATGAATCTGGAATCTAAATAAACAATCCACTGTCACTTTACCTTTTTGTAAAATGAAAAAAATCAGCAGCTATGTTAATATTACACAAAATTAGTAAATGCAGTTTTAATCACATTTTATAATTTTGTTAGGAAATCTTAAAACCTTTTATTTATGATTGAGGAAAGAAGGGTAATTTTTTCAAACATTCCTCCTGACACAAGATAATTAGCTCTACCAAATTATTTTTTCTGTGCTTTAAAGCTTCTGCTATTGGTAATGTTTTTTTTTTTATTATTGTAGGTTATACAGTAACAATCCCCAAAAAGCTTTCTTGTTGTTGCAACACAAGAATATTAATTATATAAAAATCCTGACGAGTTAAAATAATAAACTTTTGTTTTGTCATGAAAGGAATGCTGGCCTGTACAACTTGATAAAAATTTAACGTGGTGGAGATTAAAAGATACATTCATATGTAAGCCAGGCTTGAAAGTTAACACTAGCAAATTTTGGTTAGTGTTTCTATTTTGTTAGTAAAACTAAGAAAGCACAAGTACATACTTCAGAAGGTTCACAGATTCTTACTTTTAAGCATCAATACAACTTTAACACATGCATTTCATTCATTTGTGTTGGAATATTCTGACTAACAAGACTGTTTCACTTGGTGGTGTCATGCTGTTTTGTGATACCCATTTGAGCTGCATGGCATGTCCAGGCTAAGTATCAGAAAATGAGGATAGTGAGATCACAGCTCTTAAAACATTTGATGGTTGCTAAGGCAACCAACATATAAGCCAGCTCACTATACTCACACCATTTGTCCTCTGCAGTGTACTTAAAAATACTATGCACAAGTGGTTTCTCATTGGGAGTGATAACAAAATAGAAATCATGTAAACTGCAAATGTTTTTTTCCTCATTTCTCTCAATTTCATCATGTTTAACACAAATGTTACACTTACTGGCTTATAATGCTTCACCAGTTTTTGGCACTAAAACCATAATACTTAATAATAAATAAATTTTTTATTACAAGATGGTCATCAGCAGTGGGGTACTGAATACTTTGATGATCCAGGATTCGTGGCCTAGGTGTTAACATCTTCCTTCACAGAAAATGTTCTTCAGATAAATACTCACCTCACTGAACATCCACAAGCTATTACCCCATGCCAGTACCATGAAGACTTTTGTGCAAACCACAAGCCTTGAACAAAGCTCCCACCCCCTAGACAGAATAATGTGTATTGCACTAGTCTATGATGTACTCAATATTAAACTATAGCCCTCCACCGATAGAAAGGCAACATATCCTCCATGTGCAGTATTCCTTGTGATCACAAACATTTGAACAAAGGCTCATTCTTGAAAAAGTAGAAGAAATATGCCACAAGTGAGGAAGAAGTGTGGGAGGTTGTGCACAGAGTTGAATATCTATCTGGAATATATTTTTAGGAAAGGAAAGTTATAATTTTCCTAAATGAAAATGTATTTCCAATAGGTACTTCCCTCTTCTCACAAGATTAGCTTTTTTCATTTTGTGCTGCCCTCTATATGCGAACTTATTCTAGAAAGCATGCCACAAGCTTTCATCCTCTCTCTGTTGGAATCCAAATTCCCACACATCTCACATGCAAATCATCATGCGTCACCTCTCCACCAATAGGTTTGTTTGTTTGTAATTAAGCACAAAGCTACACAATGGGCTATCTGTGCTCTGACCACCACGGTATCGAAACCCGGATTATGAGCGGAGGGAAGAACCTATCCGGAGGGAAGTACCTATCGGAAATACATTTTCATTTTGGGAAATTATAACTTTCAATAAGGTACTCTCCCTACAATAATAAGATTAGCTTGAATCCCACATTGAAATGGAGGAGGGACCGGTGCACAGGAAGCACAGGCGTATCCCTCAGAAGCATCCAGCAGACACCCCCAAAATGAAAGGAACAGATCAGATGATCTGAGAAGGGGTACTGCACCACATCTGAGCCAGGTATCTCTTTGACAGGAACATCGACATGATCAGGAGGACCAGACATAGTGAAACATTAAAGGGAGCACATCTGCACGGGAGAGGATAGTTTAGAAATGTGATCTTAAAAAGAAATCAGAATCACTCAATCCCACGATGGAAAGTGGGCAAATGAGGAAGTGTCCCATGGTGTAGAGTGGATATGGCGAGATAGACCTTACTCGGTAAATCAACTACAGCCAAAACCTCACTCGCTGTGTACTGATATCCAGAAGTCCCAGAGTCAAGAAAAAACCTAACATTGAACTCCAGGAACTCACAGGGTAGCCTAATGCCAGGGACCTGGGAATGTGTCATCCGGAATCCGAGGGAAGTCCATTGCATGCACTCAACCCCTACGACCATGAAACCAGCCCAAAATGACCCCAGATTTGTAACAACCTCATCACCCAATGAGGGGAAAACCCAGAACAGAAGTGGAAACAGGCCATGTAGACCTTCTGCAACCCACAACAAAGAAAATGAGAGGGGAAGGTGGACAACCCAAAACCTGTGTGAGGACTTATATGATTGGTTCACTCAATTTCCAAAACCTCACTTGTTGGGTACCGAGCTCCACACAAAGGTAGGAGGAGGGTACCCAATTGGAGGAGTGAAATGCATTCGTGCATCTCAACTCTGGGAAATAGTCACTCATCCGGAGGATCTTGTAACTCCCTCTATACCGGCAGAACACCACCACCCTACACTGAACTGAATGGTTATAGCCATCTTTGTGGAATCCATCCAGCAGGTTGCCTGCATGGTCAACCATAACAGCTGCTTGGAACTGGTATGTGGTAAGTACTCTTGTATTCCACTAAAAGAAAGGGGAGAAAAGTGTGGTGGAGAGTCCAGAGAGACTGCAACACCTGAGACATTGCAATGAGTGATTACAAAACCCTATTTTGAAAAGCAGACCACACCGATTTACTTAATCTAGGCATGGCAGGAATGGGCAGCAATCCCCTTCTGCTTTACCCATGCTGTCCATGGTTTTTATGGTCCAGGACAGGCATATTATGATGCAATTATCATTCTAGTGATCTTGTGAAACACCCCATCTCAAGAGTGAGCATACATAATCATGGAAAATGTATAAGAATCAACATGGGTTGCTGTGTGGATTTGATATCAAGATGTCTACAAATGGTTATAGCCATCTAAGTGGAGCCCATTCAGAGTACAGACAGAATACCCGATTAGGCACCACTCGCCACAGAGCGGGATCCAAAGTGAAGTTGAAGCAGGAGCCCCTGAAACAAAAAGAAGCATTAGTGAGGGCTTATCTCATGTCACAGCCATGTTGAAGTCTGTAGATTTGCCACAGGAAGGAGATGATACCGCTAGAAAACAGAAACACCAATGTAGTATAGGTAGTGAGAGATGAATGTGTGTGGAGTCATCCACATGGCCGATCGTAGAAAATTTTCCAATGGCCGACAAGGACAAGAGGCAAACAAGGTGAGGGATTTGATGTGAGGAAACATGAAAGAGATCACACTGGGAAGGAGACAAGGAAGAATAGGCCAACTGGATCAAACATCAAACCCAATTGGTCAGGGTAACGGGAAGAGATCACAGGTAGAAGAAGGTTGCCAGGGAATAAAAAAGTGAGAACAAGGACCCTGGAAAGAAGCCATGTAGCAATAGAACAACAGAGGGCACAGACAGGACAGAGGAGTTTATTCAGATCAGGACAAGGGTAGAATTGAGATACAGAAGACAGGCAGATGGGGGGAGGACTTACCTTATTGAGCCATAGAGGTCTTGGGAAGGAAAGCATGATCCAGATAAAGGATAAGGTAGGAGAAGTGGTACAAGGTCCTGGTAATGTCGAGAGCAAAAATATCTGACCTACAATGCCCACAGGCCAGGAGGAGGAGGAAATAAGCCTTCAAAGACAGGTGAAACAGGGAACACATAGACAGAGGGTCGAATGGAGGTAAAGTGAGGGCATGAAGAACCATGTCAAGGTCCCAGTCCAGTAGCGACTGACACCTCAGTGGCCAATGAAGCCAGAAGGAATGGATCAACATGGAAAGGATAAGGGAAGCAAAAACCTTGCAAATGTGAAAAGAATGGAATGTATGAGATAATGCTACCCAAAACCCCAAAAATCGAGGAGACCAAAGAACCCTCTCAAAAAGCCACATGAGAAACTTGGTGATACAGGCAACCATTGGGTGAGAAGCCTAGAAACCACAAGTCAATGCCCAGGAGTGATAAATGCTCCATTTGCATTGATAGATAGCCAAAAAAGAAGGGTAAATGGAACAGACTAAATGTGAAGCTACTTGCCAAGGATTTGACAAAAGCTAGACATGAAGATGGAAGACAGGTGGCATGGGATGGAGCACTGGTGACTGGAGTTGAAGGAACAGGTTGGGATGGAAGAGAAGAGGAATAACCACCTGCAGATGGAGGAACCAAGAGTGTGCAGGCTAGTAAGGAGCAATCAGAAGGACTATGTATGGAGTGGCATGGATGAGGGAGACCATCTGATGAAGTAAATGAATGGGAGAGTACACATAAAGGAACAGATGAGACCAATCCTGGCTGAAGGAATTGACAGCCAAGGATTGAGTATGGGGACCAGGGACCAAAATTGAGGTAATTTGTGATTGAGAGCAGTGGAAAAAGCATTGATTTGGGGTGTACCCAGATGGAGACAGAGCCATTGAAAAACAGCAGGATGCAGGGACCACTCCGTGGGATAAACTAGATCAGGTTGGGAAAGACTGTCGGCTATGAAATTGAAATCACCTGGTACATAACATGCCACCAAATGAATGTGATGTTTGTGGGCCCAAAAATGAAGATTCATAGTGTGAAAACCTAGGGATCTGGACCTGGTGCCACCTTGGTGATTGTTGGAATGGATCATAACCAGCCGGCAGCTGGCAAGAGAAAGAAATTGATCCAAAGCCTGATGAACAACCATGAGTTTGAGAAGAGAACTCTCATCCACACACCAACAACCCCAAAACCTCCTGGTGATCCACCCAGGC